TTTCAATGTAGAAGAAGCTAATTTTACTGTGTTTTGCTAGTATGTGTTAATGTTGTCAGCTGGTTTAAAGCTTAAACAAACTGATGAGAGGTAAATGAGTAAAGTGACTGAGAAAACTGTCTTGTACACACTTCTATATTTAGACAGAGAGGGCTCGGAAACACATTGAGGAGCAGAAGTTTAAACTCTATCGATTACAGAAACTCCAGAGACTGGCGTTGAGACACTGACGTCAGCACGTAAACGGTCACTCACTGCTGGTAATGAAAGGTAATGTCATTCCAGTCAGGCTCTTTGCAGCCTGTGCATACAGCTGATAATAAATTAATGTACACTCAGTTGACAATTTATTAGGAACATCTTGCTAAAACTGATAAAGTCTAATACAACAGCCCTAAAAAAATATATACCTATAAATCGTCCTTCATGAAGATTATACTGTTTATACAGAGGTGTTTCTGTTATTTAGCCTCTTTGTTGATATAAATGGGTTGGACAAAATAATAGAAACATATAAACTTATATAACTGCTTACCATGAATGAATGAATCCAAGTTTATGTTAAGTTCTATGTGCTTCTATACAGTACATAATATATACAGTTCATCATACTATTTGCCTTTAAAAAAAAATCCTAATAAATAACATACATTATGTTTGAGCATAATAATTTAGGAAAAATCTGAAACTTGAGTGGATTCACTTTATTGAAGGAGTTTGATCATAATAGATTAGGAGAAATCTGTAAAATAACCGTTTTTCTCTGTAGAAATATTAATGAAACTTTCTGTAAATTTATTGTTCATACACTTTATTTGAAGTAGGATATTTTACTTTAATTTTACAGTTTTTGTTTGGCAGCCACTGCTGCCAGTCATTTGACCATTTTTTTATGATTTCTTTCTTACAGTGCAGGGCCCTGCACTGTAAGGACATTCTTTCTCTGTTTTCACCTGTACCATATTTGCTTTTTTTATCTTTTCATGAGGCCTGAAGGTTTTTGTGACACTACTTAAGAGTCGTTGAACTTTGAGCTGCACAAAAATGAAGTAGTTTCTGACTTGAACTGTACAATAACAAACTGGCCTCATATTGAAACCAGATAAAAATGATATTTGCTTGGTGAAATATTAGCATGCAGATGGAGCTGGAGGTGTGTCGCAAAAAACACTCTGAGTCTCAGCTACTGTTTGTTTAATTAGATACTGAAGGTTGAAAACATAATTTTCCTGTTTTTAAACAATGCAAACATGGGGCCTTATAATCCGGCCCTGACCACAAGTAAAATGTTTGCTCTGCATGTCCTGCACGTTATCACAGCTGAACACATATGATATACCCAAAGTATTTTGTCCCTCAGTTAAATTATTAAAATATAATATTCAAATGTTAATATTGTAAAATAATATTTTGCATTTAAGATCCCACAAACTAAAGGAGTTGAACAAACGATAAACATCATGTCTGAGGTGAAGTTGTGTCAGTTCTGTAGATTTCATGCCTTAAATAATATTCCAGACTTCATTTACATCACTGCAATAACCAGGATCCTTCCACCATTAAAGTGCAGGGTTTAAAGAGAAGAGATTTCATGCCTACTCACTGTAACACTCATGACGTGTTTGAGAAAAAATGTGACTGAAGTTTTCTTCTGCTGGGATTAATAGAGGCCCGTCACACTCTCCTCATGTGATGGTAACATGAAGGGTGAGATTATGTGTGGACCCCACTGGTTCTCATATCTGAGGGTTTTCCCCCCAGACCAACAACATATGGCTTTAGTTAGCCGCCTCTGGAGGGATTGATTTATGCTTATTAACTTGTAATTAGAAATAAAATTTACACCGGTGGAGCTGCACAAAGCTGATGTGACTGCACCCTGCTACAGAAAGGCAGGTGAGTAATATAAAATATCTACTTTACATCTACTTATTATTTATAACTTCACTTTTTGTCTGTTTTGATATATGTCAAAGTGTCTTTTTTTATTCATAGAAAATAGTTGTTTGTAAGTAAAACACCAAATATACTGGTTGCTACAGCTACATTAGTTCTAGTGTCCTCACATAAAAACTCTTTTCAAAATGTTTATGATTTAATGTACTTTCTTAATTTTATTAAGATGACACACTTGTAATAGAAAAAAAACTATTTAAGAAATGAATATTTAACTTGTTTTAAAAGTAAAAAATTGATTTAGATTATTTTTATTTTGTCATTTTGTACACGGAATCCTGGTATTTAGTCTTGGTTCGTTAATGGAGGAATGTAGTGTTGCTGTCAATTATTTGTTAAATCGGTTGATCTTTGAATGCAGTTTGGCGAGCCGCGCGTGCGTCAATGAAGTAACTGAACTCGCCTTTCACAGCTTGATCTGAGACTAACGGGCGTAGCTTTGTGATATATTGAAATATTTCAGCCTGGTGATTTAGGGTTTTCTTTTTGCTGCAGTTTTATGTTTTAAAAAATAGTCTTGGGTCGTTTTAAAAGTGTATACACAGTACGACAGATCAAAAAGAATCGGCCGTTAAATCGCTTGATTTTTAAATGGAGTTTGGCGAGTCGCGCGTGCGTCAGTGGACCTGCCCGGCCGAGCGGTGCCGCGGTCGGCTCAGCGGTAATTGAACTCGCCTTTAACAGCTCGAACTGGAGCTACCGGGCTTATTCCCTTTAATTTTGACCCGACTACTCGGCTTTTTCTGAAGTTATGTTTCCACTGGAATCAACACGGGAACTGTGAGGCAAGTGTTGGGGTAATATTTGGAGGGAAACAACCGGGTTAACAGTCTGGTTAACGAACTACGTTTTGTGTATTCTTCAGTAGTGGTGGAGGAGCCGCCTAGGTGGTTAGCCTAGCTTCGTTAGCCTGCCAACCTGCTTTACAGTTGGCCTTGTAAAGGGGTAAAGCTCAGGTTAGCTAACGTAATGTTTCCGTTTAACGTTACTCTCGCCGGTTAACACCTGGTTCGTAGAAGTGATAACAAAATATAACGGCCTCTTCTGTCGTTTTCTCCACGTAACAGTAACATATGGTTGGTTAGGTTGAGTTTACCCTCAGGTAAGTTATGTTAAACTTACACGGCTAACGAGCTGTTTAGGTAAAGTTAAAGGTATTTGCAAAGCTATTGTTAGCATGATAATCTAGTTAGCAATCAAGCTAATTGGTGAGATTGGTAGTAAATGCGTGTGACTTGTTATGATTGTGTCAGCCTTGTGTCGGTGGTTGACAGTCAGATTTTATCTCCTTACTGTCTCACCAAGATAAACTCACTTTGTTTTGACTGAAGCAGCAATGTATCTTCTCTCACAGGGATCCCTGACATTTAATGTTCATTTGCACTATTACAAATCCTTTATTTTTGTCTTTTTCTCTGTATTTACAACAGTGCTTGACAAGGGCTCAGTTTTGAGGGGAGTAGTAGAGCTAAGCACCCAGGGTCCCAGTGATTATCATGTCGTGTAAACTATTGCTGCCTGAATAAACAGTTTGACAGAACTTGTATCTTAAAATATTATAAAAACGGTTTGAGAGTGATGGCAGCGTCTAATCCTGTGTTTTCAGTTTTAATACTGATACGTATAAAAATAGAAATCCACCTCAGTTTCTCTGAGGGCTTCAGATGTTTTGTTCTTTGGTCTAAAACTCAAAGATATTCAGTTTACATAGATATAAAGCGGACAGTCCTCATATTTAAGAGGCTGAAAACAGCTATTTTATTGGCATTTTTTGGGTGAAAAATGACAATCAACTAATAGTTGCAACTGTACATACCTACTGTATATATACGTGTATGTCTGTTGTGCCTTTAGGTTTCTGTTAATCAGTTCTAGTGTCCTCACACCAAACTCCATTCAAATGTTTGACTATTTAATGTAGTTTAAGTTTATTAAGGTGCTGCATTTGGGATTTGGTTTAGAAAGATAAGCCACAGAATCTACTCCACTTTTTGATTCTTGATTCTGGTAATAATTAAAATTTTCTTAAGGTTAAAATTAATTGAAATTTTCATTTTGTCATTTTGCAACTGGAATCCTGGTATTTAAAAAAGCTCTTGGGTCGTTTATGAAAGGAATGTGCAGTATTTCTGTCAACTAAGCTATAGTCTGCTGTTAAATTGGTTGATTTTTGCATGAAGTTTGGTGTGTGTTGTGCCTTTAGGTTTCTGTGTTGCAGCAGCTTAATTCTGCAAATGAAACATGATTCCAGTTGTTTGTCTTTTACTATAATATACAGAACAGTAACAGAATAAGGTAACTGTCCACTGAGGTTATGACAGTCACCTATAAAAACAGATAGAAATAATATAATGTTGTAAAACCTCATAGTGAGAGTTGAAACCAGTTATCACAGTAAATGGAGAAAATAGGCTTAAATACACAGACTGGAGACTTTCTTAAATGTCTCATGAAAACTTCATTACTGATTATCCTACTAATCACTATGTATACATGTATGTATGTATGTATTAAAAGGATAAGGGGGCCTATAGAGAGGCTGCATATAAATGGGGCCCAGGTTTTTGTGCTACACCACTTAGTGCTTGGTACCGACTGTCACTGCACCCAGATGGGGGGGTGAAATAAAGAGATTGAACCAATTCTATATGTTGACATTCAATATACCTTAAACCAGTGTATCTGCAGTACAGCTGAAATATTAATGCGATTAGCAGCTAGTTTGATAATTGATCAATTTGTGATTAATCAAGCAAAAATGGTAAATATACTCTGGTTCTCTGTGTTTTATCACTTATAAAACACAAACTTCTCATCACAGTTTCCCTGAGGTCAAGGTAAATTCTTCAGATAACTTATCATCAGTCCAATTCACAGCTTAAATAGATTAGTTTTGTTTATATACGTTCCCTCTCAGTTCACATGTGAAGCAGACTTTTCTCCTCTCAGCTGGGTTAAGTCGTGGGGTCTCATTTTAAGAAGCCTAGCGAATCACAAGGCTGTGGAGGAATGTAGCTTTAGGCCAGGTTTATGCTAGTTTATAAAGAAGCTCTTGTTTTCCACTCTGCGTTTTTGTGCTGAGAAAGCTCAAAGCTGCGAGGCTTTTATTTCCTTTCCTGCTGCCTCCTCACCCACAGAGGAAGAAACAACCACAGCCGGCCTTTTGCTGTCTTTGTGAAGACGGTTATTTTAACGTCGTGTGAAACTGTGATGTGAGAGAAGTATGTTTTTAACCTTTCTAGAGATGTTGTCATCCTGATCTCCTGTAAAGTTGCTGTACTTTATAATCCACTCTGAACAGAATTAGATGAAGAGACCTTTGTTTTGTGGGTTTTGCTCAAAGTGTCAAACACATACTGATGCCCCAAGTTGGGCAAACAGAAAGGATGTGGGCAGATTTCTAACAGCACACTGAGCCTCAACTTTCCCCTTTCTTTTCTACTCTTGAGTTCATTATGCTTCCCTTCATCTGGTGTTGATAAAATATTGATGTTGAAAAAAGGAAATTTGAGACTTTGTCCCATTATAAAACATGATGGTACTTTTACAGGCACTGTAACTTCCCTGTAGCAGAGGAAATAGTGCCTTTGTTTTGATTGGATGCTTCCCTTAATGCTTTGATTTAAGTAGAACTGAATGCAAAAATAATCTCCACATTTGCTCATTTTGTAGTTTTTTCTTGAAGATAAACAAAAAGATCAAGTTCAACTTTGTAGGTTAAAAATTTCTCCTACTTCTTAAGCTAAATAAACCCATTGGACTAAGAAAAAAAACATTGTCATAAAGCTAAATAAGTGACACTTTGACCCGGTGATTACACTAGACAAAAGGTTATTACAGTTCATCCTGAGTGGACTTGAAGGTCTGAACCAAACTTCATGGTGATCCATCAAAAAGTTATTGAGATGCTTCAGTCTGAACTTGAGCTACAGCGTTAAAACTAAACAACCTGCTGCAACTAACAATTAACTGCATTGTTGATTAACCTGCTTATTATTTGTCACAATTATTGTCCATGAAATGTCAGAAAACTGGAAAATAAATGTTAAAATCTCCATTAAAAAGTGACATCTTAAGGTGTTTAGTTTTCTCAGACCAAAAGCTGAAACTTGGGGAATGTTTTTTTTATTTTTGCTTGAGACTGAAATGGGTTTTTAAGACGTTAGTTGGTAAATGTTTTGGGCTGGTTTCTGCTGAACCGTGTGACTCAGTGTTGTCAGATTTGATTGGCACAAACATTACGACCATCCCTGCCCAATATGCTGTCGATCCTTCAAGCTGCGACCCACCAAGACGTCTGAAAGTTCCTGTTGTAACGTTGCACCAGATCCTCTAAGTCCTGTCTGATCCCGCCATGGATCAGATTTGTTCTGGCACATCCCCCATAAACCCTGTCTCTGTTCAGTAGTTAGTCCGTCCTCTGACCTCTGTCGGTACCAGATACCGGTACCGGTTTCAGAGATGCATCTTTTCATAAGGATCAGGTCCTTTTCAAAGTGGTTCAGATCTTCCCACCTGCTCATTTCTGCTTCATCCAACATGTTGACAACAGGAACCAAACGTTCGCCCGCTGTCCAATTCATCCCAGACATTGTTACGAGATAATCAACGCTGTTCGTTTAATCTACGAGTCCGTAAAGTTTCGTCTTTGGCTTGTTTCCTGATTGAGCTGCAGTGGAGAGACCGTAACAGAAACAACACTGGAATAATGGAAGATACACACTTGATTGAAGCCTCATATTCTCTTAAGATAAAATTTAAAAGATACTTTGGTTCAGAATAAGAACTCTGTTTCAGTGCTCTGACTCTTGTCAGTCTTGACATACTTGACATACAAATTGTGAACTTTAAACCTTTTTAAAGGTTTTAGTTCTGGTTGTAGCTCCTCTCTGAGAAGTCCTGTTCTCGTCAGATCACAGGTTCTCGTCTGAATAAGAGACTCTTACATTGGAGCTGAGTCAGTCTGAAGAAAGCTGACTGTGTTCTGATTTCAGCTTCCTCTTTCGTCCGTCGTCATCAACAGTCTTTGCTCAGAAATGGAACTGACTTTGGTTTCTTATCGCACCTGAAAATAGAGGAAGTGAAGCAGGAAGAACGACAGTAGAAATCTGTTTTCTGTTCTCTCTGTTTTACTCTTATATTTAGAATTTGTTCATTGCAGCTGTGAAATAAGATGTAGAAATAATGTGACTGTGTTTCTTTAGTTTTATAATCATTATAGGAAAAACCTGATGATGTTGTGTTGGAGTTTTTGTTGCCATATGTGGTGATTCCTTCTCTTCTCTCTGTCACACAGGTAAAACAAGACGCCCACCTGGCCCAGAGTCCACCCTCCATCATGTCCCCATCGGCCTGTGGACACTGACACAGCTCCCCTGACACCGTGCAGAGGAAAGCAGCTGGAGGGAAGCCGGCTAGCATGCAGCACTGGCCTGGTGTCTCCAGGAGGCGGCGCTGCTGAGAGGTGATTGGTCGGTGATTGGTCGGTGATAGGTCGGTGATCGGTCGGTGATAGGTCGAGCTGAGCTTATGTCTGCTGAACCGGCCATGGACGACTTCACCACCAGGACGTACGGCACAAGCGGCCTGGACAACAGACCTCTGTTCGGGGAGACTTCTGCTCGGGTAGGAACCTGCTCGAAGTGTGTGTGTGTGTCTGTGTGTGTATGTGTGTGGACATTATTTTAAAGAGACAACATGAACCTTTAATCAGAGCTGCAACGATTAGTCGATTAATTGATCGGCAGAAAATGAATCTGCAGCTGCTGCTGTCACTGTGTGTTTCAGATCTGATCTCTCTGGATCCTTAGTCTGTAATTATTTGATAATTAAATACGACACTTATGACAAATAATTCGTCCTACTTGATAGTAAACAAAGTATTTTGGGCTTCAGGCTGACGGTGGCACACAGAAGACATTCACAGACGTTACATGAAGACATTTTATGGACAACAGTTAATGGAAGTGTGTGTTTATTTGTGTATCCAGAATGTCAGTGGTTAAATGTCTGGTAGAGTGAGATCATGTCAGAAATGTAAATGTTGCATTTATCTGAACTGAAGCATTGAACTCGTGTCTGTGTCGCAGGATCGGATCATCAACATGGCGGTCGGGGGATTCACCTCTGTGGTCGTTCTAGTAAGTAAACGAGCTCGTCTCTCTGTTCCGTTTGTTGACCTAAAAAATCTGCATCTTTTTATTTCCACACAAAGAACCTCAGCAGCTCAGTTCAGAGGTTCGTCCTGTGAAGCTGCAGCTTCAGCCTGAAGTCACTATGTTCACATGGAGCACAACAGTATCAAAGATGTGACGCCAAAATAAAAGCTGAAGCAACTTTTTTCTAGTCTGAAATCACAAAGAAAAATTATCTTTATTTATTCTATAATAGTTATAATTATTATTATTATGACTGGAAACTGTCTTCCTTAAAACTGTGGAGAAGAGTTTGTCTTTGCTACGGTTTGAAAACATTAGACACACATTGCAGGGATTCGTCATGAACAGTGAAACACTCAGAGGTTTCACACTGTGAAGAGACAAACTCATCCTCTGAACCACGACTCAGTCAAAGCTGAACACAGACCTGATAGCACGTATTTAAACATCCAGTTTAACTTACACTTTGCTGATAAACGCCCATTAATTTGCTCAGAAATCAACAGACACGACGCTCCTTCAAACCTGATGGTTGTCTCTATCTATGAGCTAATGCTAATGGCTAATTCTGCTACTTTACATTGTGCTAACTTGCCAAAATGTAAACAACAGGTAATGTGCAGGTCAAATAACTGTAAGGTTTACTGATTATTAATAGATTAATAATGAGTGACGAAGATTAAAGCTGAAGAGGATCAAAACCTTTGGCTTGATTACTTATTTATTTATCTTTAATCTATATAATAATACAGATATATAGAATATACTCCCAAATAAACACCTTTTACACTGGGCAAGCTAACAAGCTAACATCTGCCAACATCAAACAATGTGAACAGTTACAATCAGCATTAACTCGAAGTCACATGACTCTGCTGTAGTTTGATCAGTGATTAGCATTAGACACCTGAGTGAACGTGATGGATCTATTCTACCATCTGCAGAGCGGCTAGCAGCTCACAGCGATCTCCGTCCAGACTATCACAGCTGAAAACACACACATACCTGACCTCACGTACACTGAGCATGTGCGAGCCGGTGTAAACAGGAAGCGGATTGTCTACTCTGCAGTTCATTAGTTTTAAAAAATACTACGAAGGACGAACAGCAAAGACAGTTGTAGCATTAAAATACAGAATTTACACTGTAACACTGTAATTCATTATCATGTTGTATCCACCACTGGCAGTCCAGGCTGATGAGAGCCAATCAGGAGAGGCCGTGGATGTCTACGTTACTGTTTCAAAAGGTCTCAGTTTCTGTCCGTCCAAACGACAACACAACCCAGAGTTTTCAAAATAAAATGGGTCGAGCAGCGATTCCAAAAGTCTTTGTTTTAGGCGTTCGAATACTTGAGAGTCGTGTGGACGGGACGAGGAAACGAAGCGACAGAGACGCGTTTTATAACAAAAACATAGTAGTGTGGACGTAGCCTGAATCTGTGGAGATACTCCCTCCTCTGTCTGCGTGTGTCTCTAACTACAAGTGATGACATCGTTGTGTGTCTCTGTCCGAACAGAAAGACAACCTCGTTTGGCAGAGTGAAAGAACACAACCGCCTTTTCTTTTTTAGAGGTTTTACGTGCGGTAAAAAAAAACTAGAAATAAAAAACTTTTGGTGTTGAAGGTTGTTAGTGAGATCTCATGGGCGTCTCAGTGAAGCTTCAGCACGAGCTGCTCTGACCTCTGTGGAAAATGCAGTTACTGTAAGTAGATGACTGGAATGCATTTAGTTTGTTTCTGTCAATATGACCATGAGACAGAGTGTTGAATGATCCCAGTCTGAGACGTGATGAAAGTCTTAAACACACGTTACACATCTTGTTTATGCAACACTGTGACAGCGTCACCACTACAGTTAATCATATTAGCTTTACTGAACACATTAAGGAACCTTTAATAATTAATTAGCTTTTCTTATTCATAGTTTGATAACTTAAAGATGCTGGAAGGTTAAATGAACTGAGTGTAAATATCCTGCTTTTTCTGGACTAAGATGAAAAGGGGGTAATTTACCATTTTATCTTACTTGGTTTTAAATGTTTTATTTTTATTGGACTATTTCTGTTTTTTAATCCCATTTTATTCCTTCTTTTTAGTAGTTTCATTTTACACACCTTTTTACTGATCGGTTTTTGGTCTTAATTATTTTCATAATGGTTTTTAATTCATACGGATCATTTATGTGTTTGTTTCAATTTGTGTCTCATGTTTAGTCTCCAGAGTTTTTGTGGTTGATAATTGATGCAGCTCCTTGTTTCCACCTGGGATGAAATGTGCTGCATTAATAAAGTTTTGCTTGTTTGCTGCTAAAATAACGACTCAGCTGTTTTCTACTTCTTGTTCTCCAGTGAAACGTGTCATTTCCTTCCCTCCTGTAAAAGAAGAGCAAAGTGTTTCTCTTCAAACCAGGAGTGTGAGGAGGAGTTTTTATAAGAAACTGAACATATTAATAATAATAATATTATTTATCTGTTTGTCTCCAGGTAACTGTGATCGGTTCCTTCGTGTTCCCTTCACTGCCTCCACGACCGCTTAATGTCTTCTTCGCCGTGTGCATCCTGTTAACCTGTGGATCCACCATAGTGCTGGTAACACACACACACACACACACACACACACACACACACAGCAGCACTGACAGGATTAATTTCATGCGTATTTACTGTAGCTGATCTGATTTATCACATTTTAATTAGAGAAAACAACAAACATTTCAGAAGCATTTTGAAACGACAGACGTAGAGCAGAAACTTAATTTCATTAAATTAAATTTGAGCTTTTATCAAAGTTTTCTAATCAAATTATTGAACTAATTCAGTTTCATTCCGTTAATCAAAGTCTCGTGTGGTGGAGGACGCCTCCCTTCAGCTTCTGCAGCAATAATCTCATTCATTAAATACAGAGCTGCAACGATTCATTTATCAACTATTTTGACAATCGATTATTATATCATATTATATTATATAATATTTTTATTTGAGGCATTTTCAAGCAAAATGACCAAATGTTTTCTGGTTTCAGTTTCTTAAGTGTCGAGATTTAAAGCTTTTCTTCGTGGAAGAGAAACTGATGAACAGCGAGACAGGAAGTTGTGTTGGCGAGCAGATGAATGAAATCCATATTTTTAATTAACGTGGCGTCATTTATCTTATTTATTCTAGATTCTGTTCCTATTCTTATTTCTTAATTCTTATTATATTTTCCCCTTGTGCTGCTTTTCTTTTGTGCTGCTGCGTGAGTTTGAATTTCCTCTACGGGGGACCGATGAAGGTTCATCGTATCTGATCACCTCCGTGTCTCTCTCCCTCAGATCTTCTGGTACCGACAGGGCGACCTGGAGCCCAAATTCAGGAACCTGATCTATTACATGCTGGCGTCCATCGTGCTGCTATGTCTATGTGCCAACCTCTACTTCCATGATGTCAGGTAAAGACGAGGAGGAGGAGGAGGAGGAAGAAGAAGAAGAAGGGAAGACATGGCCTTGACAGACGGAGACACATGTGGAAGGACTAAATGATGGACCGACAGTGACGGAAATACATGACTGAAAAAAACAAAAACCAAAAAAAACCAAAAACTAATCACACACTAACTTGAATGAAGTTCCCACCCGGCTCACAGAGGAGCTGTCGGACCAAAACCAGTGAGACTTTAATGGTTCCAGTGGGATGAAAACTGTCTTGTTGGTACCGAATAATACACACACACACACACACACACACACACGACTTCACAATGTAGAAATCATGATGTACTGTACGAGGCCATAAATCTGCCTGGAGACACACACAGCTGGAGGAAGAAGTTAAAGAGGAGCAGGTGTGTTTACATGCACATAAACATCATTATTCATCATTATTACAGTCATACTAATGTAATAATGACATGGTAATAATATGAAGCTCTTCAATGCAAGAGTTTGATATGATGAGGTCATAATGATGAATAGTTAAAGGAAAAATCTGCCCTTTCTTTTGTGTTGTATTACAAATCAATGTCTTTTACATGTTTTTCTCAGATTGACTATATTTATATCTTTAAACACATTGTTATAATAACTATTCTAAGCATCACTGCCTTTAAAGTCTGTGTTCACAGACCACATTTTTGACGACAACTTAATCATTCCAAACTCCAATAAAACACCTGCCGAACCTCCATTCAGACAGAATGAAGCATTTTAACCATCTGGAAATTACAACTTTATTTACAGTCATTCCACAAGACAAAGACAAAAGATAAGAAGACGTCAGTCAGTGTGACCTACACTTCCTGAGGACATCGCTATCTGTGTACCACTTCACTGCAAGACGACCCTCATAAAGGATTAATGAATGGTTTATAATCAGGTTATTAATTGGCTTGTTAACACTTAATAAATCATAAATAAACAAGTTGTAACACATTTTTCATACGTTGATACTATTCAGTTAGAACAAGTTAATGTTTACTACTCACTTCCATTTATAATGTCAATAAAGTAATTGATCAATTATAGTAACTCATTATTAAACTTACACTTTACAATAAGGCTCCTTCCACCAGTTCTAAATAATAGTAACTCATTAGTCAGGTTTATGAGTTTTAAGCTTTAACTTGCCAAATAGTATCAATGTATGAAAACTGTGTTTATAAGTTGTTAATTTATGATTTATAAATTGTTAACAACTGAATTAATAGCCTAACTATAAACCATTTATAAATCCCTGATAAGCGTCGTCTTATTGTGAAGTGGTACCATTATCTCTGATGTCGTCATGAATAAACTTCCATAAATCTGCTGATAAATCGTGGAAAAGAAGCTTCAAAACGTTTTTAACTTTTCTTCAGTTTCACATTAATCCAGTGACAGTTGTTAATGGCTAATTCTGCTTCTTTAAATGTACCAGGACAAACCAGGTTTTTACTTTTAACAACAGTACATTTGATGAGGTTTTACATGGTCTTTATCTCATGATGACTTAATGAAGGTGTTAGCATGTTAGCATGTTCCCATGTATCAGATTAGCAAAAGAAAAAATTTTTTTCCCCACACAAAAATCTAATTTCACACTGAGCCAATTAAAAGGGAGAAAGAAAAGTTTTTCACTTGGAAAAACCTCAGAGATCCACTTTAAAACACAAGGACACGTCGCCCCGGACATGATGTAAATTACTTACTTTATTTATTATTAATTTAGTAAAATGTAAACAAAACAAAGAAAAGCTCAAAAGAGATCACCAACATTTGATGAGCTTTGTTCTCCTGATGGCTTTCATTTTTTCTGTGATACTGGTTCCTAAATCGGCCCGTTGTGTTGGTGTTGGCATGTGTCCATGTCAAAAAACTTTTTTTAACTTCCTCCATTTTCACATAAACACTGAGCTCATTTAAAAGAAAAAGCAGAAGTACAAGCAGCGATAACGTTAGAATGACATCAATCCACCAGCGTTTGTTGATGAAGTCTTGTGGATGAACTCAGTTTGACATGTGTTCAGAATTTCTTAACCAGTTATGAGCATGTAAACACACCAGGTGAAGCAGGAGGCGGGAAACAAACCCTTCCCTCCCTCCTTCAGTTCTGTGGACTTTAGCACTAGCTAGCTAACACGGCAATAGCACAACAGCATCAGGGTTCTGTGGCAAATATATGCAACAGTTTGTATGTTTTCCCTTTTTTTTTCTGCTACTTTTCTGCTTTTTCAGCTTATCTGATTTTCATGGTGGGATTTAATTAATTTTCCGAATCAAGTCTTGCTAAGAGGATTTTTTTTTAATTAGACCTAAATGCTGAATTACACTGACTCACTGCCAATTCTTGCACTAAGCGTGGCTGAATTACACTTTTGTCTAAGCCATTCACACACACACACGCACACGCACACACACACTCACTCACTCACTCACTCACACACTCACTCACTCACTCTCAGGCCAGCTGTAGTACCAATGAAGATGAATGGAGGTTTTCCACATGAATCTGTAAAGGTTTCTGTATCACGTCAATGTGTCCGCCATCGGGCGTTTTTGCACTGTTGATCCTGCTTTTTACGAACCTGAGCTTCTAGTCTGTCGCACCACGTAGCTTTAAGTCACTGTTTTTACATAAAAAATGAGAGTTATAATCATGAAGACGTTTGTGTTGTAGGTCTATTTCAGCTCAACACGTTTGGTTCAGATGTAGCAGGTTAGAAAAACACTATGGTTTACAGAGTGTAGCTGCGTTAGTGAAGGTAACGCAATAACAGGAAGTTAAAGCTGACGCCATTCATGGCCTCAGTGTTCGGTACGTTTCTCCGTGATTTGGTCACATAGTGTTGCTCCCTTAAGGTTCGTGTAGGAAATGCTAACAGCCTCTGATTTCTCTGGATTCACAGCCAGCAGGTATATCAAAATAAAATCCAGTATTAACATTAGTAGTATTATAACAGCTACACTGATTGTGTCTGGTTTCACTTAAACTGCTACAAATAAAGAAGCTAATTTAGGCTGTTTATCTGGTTAGCATTAGGGCTAACCATTTAGAAATAAATCTGAGAACATTTTTGCCCAGCTAAATGCTAACACTAGTATGCTAATGTTAATATTCAGCAGGTATAATGTTGACAATCTTAGTATGTTAGCGTGGTAACATTTAGTAGTTTGTGCCACGCAACAAACAGCTGAGGCTGATGGGAATGTCAGTAGTTTTGCAGATGTTTGGCCATAAACCCAATTAGATTTTGACCTGATGGTGGCGCTATAGGAAAAGTGAAGAGATCAGTGAAGTCATTTCATTTCATCATGAGGGTGAGAAGAATATCTGAAGCAGAATATCTGAAGCAGATTTCTTGACCGTCCTGTAGCGACCAACAGATGCTTTTTCTGAACCCACAGATCTGTCAGATCCTCTGTCGCTCCAGACAAACATTTCATCACTTCAGGCAGAAAACAGATCAGTGGGATCATGAAAACACTCATGAAGTAAAGACCAGCTGATGTGAAGAGCCTGAGTTTAAAGTTTTGACCAGATCAGAGAAACGTGTTGAACACTGACGTCACACAAAGAGCAAAGTCTTCAAACACACCGTAGCACTGAGGTTTCATTTGGACTAAATGGCTCTTAAACTGAAGTTAAAGTCGAGATTCAATCACAAAGTCAGGCTGCAACATAAACACAGATCATGAAGACTGTGGATTCATCCTCTGTCCAAATCAAGACTGCACAAAGAAAGCTGGACTCAAAGTTCAAATCTCAAAGAAAAGGACTGATGTTATTTTATTTATTTATTTATTTTTATCAACAAATCTCATGAAGACAAAAACCAACAATGTTCCAACATTTTTCTAACTTTTTAATCTTTAAAAACACGACACAAGTGTATAGTTTCATTTTTTAAAAGTTTCTGTTTTTTTCATGACATTTGTTGACAAAAATAAAAATATAAAATATCACCAGGTTTGTCCTTTAATATAAAACATGAGGCAAGTTGCAGCTTTAAAGTGTAAACAGCTTTGTTTACAGATGTTCTGAGTCACACGGAGTCGAGAAACGTCCGGGAGAGGGAGCCGACCTCGCCATGACTGTAGGACTGTCAAAGCCAGGTGTTTCTTTTTTATTTAATATTTTATGGAATAAATAATTATGTACCCTGAACGCCTCCTTTGCTTTTTCTACTGGTGATCAAACAGGCGAGAAATGAGACGCTGTGAGGAAGTCGAAAACACCCAGAGATCCACTTTAAAATACAAGACGTCGCTCTGGACGGGATTTATTCATCGTTCAAGTTGCCACTAAAAACTTCTTCATCTTCACATAATTATAAGTACGTATTAATGTTTTTAAAAGGTCAGTGCCCAGGTTTCCCTCCATCACAACCTTTGGAGTCTCTTTGGCGCCGTGAGGTCGACAGTGACGGCGAGCGCTGCACAGCGTTCACATTTCATCCAGGGTTCAGACTGAAGCGTCAGTCGGAGTCAGAACTTCTGTTTCATTCAGTCTGTTTTAAAAGAATTCACATCCTGGTTTTAACAGGAGCGTCACAGTTCAACAGACAGACAGCTGCTGTGTCTGTTGTTGTCGTCGTCCTGTGAGGCAGCTACAGTCGGTCTTCACCCGGGTCAACAGGCTCGTCTTGTAGAGTCCATTTAATCACAGGGATGTCACAATAAAAGTCCTGCTCAGTCGGAGCCGTCCTGGTTCTCCAAGATCGGATCTGAGGACACAGAAGAACCATGTTGTTAAATGTGTCGGCAGATCTGAAGTTCTCTCCACTCTGAATCAAACACAAATACTTCCTGAGTGTCCAGTGCTTGTTCAGACGGTTGCCAAGGAAACCAACCAGAGGAGAACAAATGACCTGTTTAAATGAGCGACTGATTTTCTCCCACAATGTACACGCCGTGTGTGTGTGTGTGTGTGTGTGTGTGTGTGTGTGTGTGTGTTACCTGTCAGTGTGCTGCTGATGTTGGGAGGAGACACAATCAGCACGGCACTGCCAGACGTTATCCCAGAATGCACCACTGGACCCTCAACAGAGGGGGAACTCAGCTCCTGACAGAGTTAAACATCTTTATGTTATAAATCACTAGATTGAATCAGGATCAGCAGAAACCCTAAGGGACTGTTACAGAGGCCAAAACCACAGCCTGACACTGCTGAGGCTTTTATTTTGATAAGTTTATGTATTCAGTGTTTCCTCCTTCTTCATATTGTCTTTGTATTTTTGTAAACAGGAGAAGAAGAGAAAAGGAGCAAGAACTGATCAATAAGAAGAGAAAACAAAAACATCTGTATTTTACTGTCTAGTAGATATTTGTGACACGTCTGTTTAGTTTATTATAATGTAGAAAATTTTGAGCCTTTCAAATTAAAAGCACCTGTATTATGTGAGTAATGATTGTTGAATCAATAACTCCATATTAATAACTTGGATCAACATCTGATGAAAACAAACTGAAGGACCAGGGTGCATGTTTGTACCTTGTCAGTGAAGCCATCTGTCATTGGCTCCTGAGTTTCCGTGACAACGCTCTCGGAACCCTCCAGGAGACTCGTGGCATCAAGATGGTCGTCCTGGCTCCGCCCCTCCGTCTCCACGACCAGATTATCTTGGCTGAGAGGGTCGGAGGAGGCGGGGTCAGAGGTGACCGTCTGGATGATGACGCCGTCGCTGGAGCAGAGGCCGTCCGTCTGAGGAGGGAACACACACACACACACACACAAACACACACACACAGTTTCACTGTTTCCTGCTGTAACAAACAAACAAACAAGCAAACAAACAAACAAACAGACAAACAAAAACACTGAGGTGACGAGTGTCAAACCGACCGACAGGCTGTGCAGGATGATGTGTTCGTGTGACGACGGAGACGAGCCTGTCGTCAGGGTGACCGTGCCGTTATTGGCCAGACTTAGCGGAAGGCCCTGATTGGTGGAGAGGCTGAGCGGCAGGCCCTGATTGGACGTTGTCTGGAGGTAGTAGGTCCCCGGGGTGCCGGTGGGCTGCAGGTGGAAGGACTGAGGGAGAAGAGGAAGAAGACGGCGAGTCACAAACAATGTTGGTTTTTTTTAACCTGCAGGAGAAAATACAAATTGCAAAAATTGTCGCTATTTGTTTTTGTTTAATTGATTAAAAGTGGAAACTTGTTCCCGTGAGAATAAATCCAGGTCAGCAGCTGGTGACCCGTCGTCACAAATCTTAGAGGGAAGAGAAGAAGAGGTTCTGCTCCTCCTCCTGTCTGAATCACGGGTCCAGCTGATCTTTAATAACGTTGAGCTTCATGGCTAAAAATCTATTTAATTATCAAGGTGATCATGTGACTGTAGATATTTTATTTCATCTGGGGAACAGAAGCAGCGTCGCTCCGGCGGCTCTTCACCTGGTTCCACCACGATGTAAAACATCTGAACGTCTTCACACGGTCTCTAACAGTGAACATGAGACGCTCACGTCACACACGTCTGCAGCTTCACAACATGCTTCAACACCAGGAACCAGGAAGTGAGTTCGGTGACATCATCAAGGTTTTGATCAGGGACAGGTCAGAACTTTTGTCCAGAATTCACAGGGATTGGTCGAATTCACGTTAATTATCGTAAATCGCGACTTCCTGGCGGGACCGCTAATAAATCTACCGCAGAAGAAGAGATCTTACAGGCAGGATCTCGAAGGTCTGCAGCGCTCCCGTGTTCAGAGTGATGGTCTCACTGTCGCTGGCGGCAGCTGAAGAATCTGAGGCTGAAACACAAAGATCCAGTGTGAGGAGACAGATGTGCAGTGAAGCTGGGATCTACACACATCTGTCACAGCGAGTCTCACCCAGGTGTGTGATCTGCAGCGGGATCTGTACGGGAATCTGCAGCGCCGCCACAGAGCTGGGGACGGGGCTGCCGCCGCTCTCCTCCAATCGGGTGAGTCGGATCTGGAGCGAGGACGAGGAGGAGGAGGTGGGGCTCCCCGGGACCGATCCTGAGGACGCCATCAGCTCCTGGAGGCCCTTCAGGAGGACTGGACAGACACACACACACACACACACACACACACACACACACACACACACACAGAGAATGAAATCTCAGGTTTGTGTTCACACCTTGTTTGTGCTGCCCCCCAGTGGCCACAATTGAACTTGTGTCATCATCAGATTTTGTGTAAATTATTAATCATTTTAATTGTTTAATTCTTTATCTAATGGATGGTTTTAGATGTAACAGTCTGTTTTTCTCCTTGCTTGAAAAATCCTGCACAAATAAAGTTGTAATTATTTTAATTATAAACCACAGGAAAGTGTTGACACGGTGTGTGTGTGTGTGTGTGTGTGTGTGTGTGTGTGTGTGTGTGTGTACCGCTGAAGGGGATCTCCTTGTGATTGGCTACTTGTCTCTTGATGCTCCACCACTTGGATCGCAGCCACTGAGGCGATCGGACGCTGCTCCACCCGCCGGCGAGATCCTCCCACTTGATTTCATTCTCGTCCTCGACCTCCAGCTCCGATATCCTGAAACACAACGTTCAGCTTTACAGATTCATGTCACCACACACACACACACACACACACACACACACACACACACAGTCTGTACCTGCGTATGAGGTTCAGGTCGTCCTCCTTCATCCACTCCGTCCCTCCGCTGTGTTTCCAGTTCAGGTAATTCAGCCACTTCGACCGACACTGTTTCTCTGAGCGTGTGCGAACCTGATCGGCGACCGACGCCCAGGACACGCCTCCGGTGACCGCCGACCCCGGCGACACACCCGCCATCTCGTACACGACCTCAGCGAGACGCCGCTCCTCCTCCTCGCTCCATTTACCTGTTGTTAAAAAAAATCAGGTGAGTTTCAGACGTTTTAACTCGACACGGAGTTTAATCTAAATATCTTCTTCTTCTTCTGTGTTTTATTTGGAGTGTTGATCCATCAGAAGATATTAAAACCATCTCAGTGTAATCTCCTCTCTCAGGCTTCTCTCTGGAGCTCTAGTAACAACAGGTCTGTGAGCCAATCAGAAGAGAGGAGGCTCTGAGCCTCTCTTCTGATTGGCTGACTGTTTTCTGAGTGATCCAATAAAAATATAGAAGATTTCAGACTGTAGAGAAAGCTGCAGGATGTGTTTAGCTTAGCTTAGCACAAAGACTGGAAGCAGAGGGAAACTGTTAGCATCCAACAAAATCCAAAACTGTTGTGATTTACTTACTGATCTCTGAGCTGGACGATGTTCTTGGATGAAGTTCTTTTTTCTTTTAATATCTCACACACACACACACACACACACACACACACACACACACACACACACACACAGAGCTTTGTACCTGTGTTGCATGTGTCCTTCATCAGTCGGCAGCGGTCTTTGACAGAGGACGCGCTGCGGCCCAGAGCTGCGCCGATGGTGGCCCAGTCGTTCCCGTGTTTCTCCCTCAACCTGAACACAAACATCACATGTAAACAACAACAAACAGCACAAGAGAAAACAACAACAAACACACACACGATCAGTTTTAAAGATTTTCACTCACGATTTCAGCTTCTCGATCTCGTCAGGAGTGTACCTTCAAAAAAAAAAAAGACAAATTAAAATTCAAACCCGTTGAAAGATAAAGTTTCAGTGAGTCTTGCGTCGTCGTTTCCTGCGTGGACTCACTTGCCGACGTGGTTACGGTTGTCGTACATCCGCAGGACTCGTCTGTAGACGGCGAACAGCGGCCGGTTCAAGCCCAGCGCCACAGAGCGGTAGAAATCCTTCCTCTCCTCTTTGGACATCTCAAAGATGATCTCAGCCGGGTCCTCGATGCCTCGGTCCTGAGACACACACACACACACACACACAGGTGGTCACACACATACATACCACGTGAAGACAGATAAAGAGACGTGGTGACGGACGGGAACCTTCACCTTCACGTATCGATCGATGTTGCTCATCAGAAGGTCGATCTCCTCTTTAGACCACATCCCCTGTTTCCACTTATGACCTGCAGAGGACGAGTTCATCATTCACTCATTCACTTATTCACTTGTTCATGTTCACTGTCTTTAGTTCTGTTCAGAGAGAGAGAGAGAGAGAGATGTTTACCTTTGTTGGCCAGTGTGTCTTTGTCTTCTTTTGTGGTGAACCAGGCCTGACTGACAGGTGACACCTCTGTCTTCTGATTGGGCGAGAGCGAGTCCTCGTCCTCCTGCAGGATCTACACACACACACACACACACACACACACACAGTCAGACCTGATCCTCATGTTTATTTATAAAGTTAAAAACATTAAAACAAACTTTACGACTTTGTTATTTTTGTCTCCATCAGGTCAAAAGTCTTTTTGTTTCTTCTTCTTTTCTTATTTTGTTTCACGTGTTTCCTGGTTCAGACTTCCTCCAGCTGAGCTCTGACACAAACTCATTAAAGACTTGATTCAGAACATTTACAGCTGTTTTTATTTCTCCCTCTCGTCTCTTTCAGCAACAACAAAGTTAAACTGCATATATTAGATTTTTTAAACTGTTGTATAACGGAGTTATTTCTGCCGTCACTTCCTCCTCAGACCTCTGTTCCCTCAGAGCAGAGAGGAAAGGAGCCTTGTTGGGCTCCTGTGAACTGCTGCTGCTGCAACGTCATAATAAAATGATATTATATTGTATTTAATCTGCTCTTTAATTATTCATTTTCTTGTGTTATTACAGCTTTTTAAATGTATTGTTTGTCAATTTCTTTCTTGATTTGTCCTTTTTCTTTTTAGCTCGTTGAACTAACCTGTCTGAAAAATGCCGAACAAATAAAGACTGATTGACTGATACGCGCTCTACCAGGTGAGCCACGGCGGCGCCCCGACCTCTGACCTCTCTGACATTAATACATCATGGTTCATTCTGGTTGCGCAGCTCTGTTAGAAGGAAAACACCTGTGCACAAAAACTGTGAAAGGTAAATAAGTTTCTGTCTTTGCGGAAGTAAAAAGTTGGAGCTGGTTGGTTTAAGAGGCAGAACACCTGAATCTGAGCGACGCCATCCTCGGACAGATCTCCGTCTGCTGTGGCCGTCATCGTCACCTCGAAGCCTTCGTCGCTCTCCGACACTGTGGAGACAGAAAACAGTTCAGGAGTTTCTCTACAGAACGAAGAGTTCTTAGTTTGTGAAGATTAAATATGTTCAGATGTCGAAAGCTTTAAAAAATGTAAAACTCGACGTTTAGCTGCTGATTTTCATAATAAAATTTAAACACAACTTCAGGAGAGTGAAACTCGTTAAAATAATAATCAGACCAAAAAGCAAAAATGCTCCATAAAATTTGTGACAATATGTGATTTTCACTTCAGTTCAAAACCATGAGCTCAAAGCAACTTGAACCAGCAGCAGGAGAACGACGACAATATGTCAGTGATACAAAGGTGTGTCTGTGTCTGTGTCTGTGTGTGTGTGTGTCTTACTGGGTAAAGTGACCACAGAGAACTGAGGTGTGTCTGAGTCTTCCTGTTCCTGGTCTGTTGAGAGACGCAGCTTCTTCTGAAGAGGCTCCGAGTCCCCGTCTACACACACACACACACACACACACACACACACACACACACACACACACACACACACACACACACACACACACACAATTAACATAACATATCAATTAATCAGCTGATTATTTTAATGATTTATTGTTTGTTTATAAAAAGTCAGAAAACTGAAAAAATGACAATTTCTCACAATAATCTTTATTGAACACGTTCATTGAACATTCACAGTGTTGCAGTGTGTGTGTGTGTGTGTGTGTGTGTGTGTGTGTGTGAACCCACCGCTGGGAGGACAGTGCAGTATGATGCTCCCATCACTGTCCTGGGTGAGGGTGACGGACTTGACGGTCTCTAACGCTGCAGCCTCCTCGTCCTCTGCCGCTGAGCTCATCCTGCACCTGGTGAGAAAATCAAACACACTCACTGCCACAGGTGTGTGTTGATGTCATTCAGTAAACGCTGTAAACGAGGCATCAGACACACCTGACGGACAGTGTTTCATGTGACGTTCATGACACTGTTTATATTGTAGAAAAATCAGGTTTTCTAAACTGTGTCTCCATTTGGTCTTTAGCAAACTATTATTTTCATTATTCATTCACCTGCCGATGACTTTCAATTAATTATTTGGTCTAAAAAATGTCAGAAAATAGTAAAAAATATCCGTCAAAGTTTCCCACAGACTGAGGTTTTATTTTGTTTTGTTTTGTCGATCAAAAAAACCCAAAAAGTTGAATTTACTTTGACAGCAATAAATATTCTAAAATGTTTGCATAAGCCTGTACTGAGTGTAGGTGGCAACACTTTATTAAATAACGGCTTTACACTGAAACTAAAGACCAAGTGAGGAGCAGCAACATGCGACATCTAAAAGTATTAATGTGTTATTAATCTCAGGACAGCTGTGAACATTGTTTATTTTGCCAAAATATACAAATAAGATTATGTACTGCTGTAATAACTGACCCAACAAAAAGCATCATTCAAACTTCTGTCAATTTAAACTAATTTACATACTATAAATTAAAACTTTTCATGTTCTGTTAGATGGGACTGAAAAATACTGGTTAGAAGTAATTTATGAACAGATCAGATATTTTATTATTTAGTATTTTTAAACTCCAAACCTGTGGACTGAGCTCAGACTGCTCACTACCAACCTCTACTTTGTATTTTAATGGAAACTGGGCACAGTGTTTTAAATATGTTGTGATAGTTGCAGCAAAGATGTCAAATTGGAGGTTAAAGTCAAGTTATAATGAGTATTTAATGGATTTCTGGCAATCAGCATATGTTGCCATGTATTACTGTCTAGTACAGGGGCATTACACTGGTGAAAATACAGGTACTCAGTTAGAAAGTCAGTCGTCATAACATTCTCGTTGTAATTCATACCAGACTAATATACCAATTTAATGTAAAATTGTGTAACTCCCATATTTTTTTAATTCAAAAAATAAAAAATGCAACAGTACATTATATTTTGAAGGAACATATCTTAATGTCTGTGCGCTGCAGGGGTTGTATATGTCTCTTTTCACTTAAAAAATCAGTTAAATGTGTCATATGTCCAAACTTTTACATCCAACTGTGCATTGAGCTTTTATTAAGTTGCCATCAGTTATCAAAACGTGTCGTGCTTGCTGGACAGTGTGTACGCAAAACTGTAGGCTGGATCATTCATAAATGTTTTTACTTCAAGTTGAAATCAGTAATGTGTTTATTGTTCGCTAATCAGCAAAACTCTGTAAAATTGTCGTATTTTTAAATGGCGTTTTGTGCAACGTCCCATTCATCGCTATTTGGAACAATAGCAAAAAAACACTGGGATTCAGCGCAGAGACGCATGCGTGGTTCATGTTTAGTTACACCAACGTTACAATACATAAAAATATAATAGTTTTAATACACAAATGCAGCACTATAAATGATGTTAAATTATGTTTCCAGGAGAGAAACAAACGCCGACAGAGGCCAACAGCGAAGCTCTGACACAATGCTAACCATTAGCATCCAACAAGCGACCGTGCTAAATGAAAGACGAAAAATCCCCGGCGCCATGTTAAGTCGACAAGGTGAAGCTTATGGCGTCTGTGCCGTTTTTGACGCTGTTGTGTCTTTATTCTCTGTTTCTGCGGTGGTTTTTTTCCCACTTTGCGCTTTCTCTGCTTCGACTACCAAACAGAAACTGAATTTTACTTTTGATTCGGATACTTACTTCCTGTTTTTGGTCCGGGAACTTGTGAGTTACCAGGATGAAGGAAAGTGCCAGGATGGAGGCTCGGCGTCCGAGGGCCCGCCGCTGGGTTGCCAGATAGGTTGAATATCCGTAAACTGCAGTTGTACGTATTCTTTGTATCTGAAAAAACATCATATTTAATATTTGTGGTGATATTTAATTGTGTTTTATTTTTACTTTAGGAACTAAAATATATACTTGTAATCCACCGAAGTTAAAGCATTTCATAATAGGCTATTTATGGCTACAACTAAAAATTATTTTCATCATCGCATCCAAACTATTCGGTTTGCGTGTAAGAATCAAACCTGGCAACCACTCTGTCAGCTCTAAAAATCTGTCCGGGTAACAACCTGACCTATTTATCTTTTTGATTGACTGAACACTGTGAAGTAAATATTGAAAATCGATGCTGACCTTAAATAACTTTGACTAATTTTAATTTTTATCCCGCAGCTCCATTTTGTTGGTAAAAAAAACGCGTGATTTGTAGAGACGGAAAAGGTTCCGCTTTATCGCCGACCGGACCACTTTCGGCGACGTACGGAACATTCAAGCTGCAAAAATCCAAACCACACATTTTAACACATTCGACTATAAATTAGCCAAGACATGGGGGAGCAACCGGTGAGAGTGTAAGTTTAACATTATAAATGTTTTAAACGTGGCTTTAATTACGTTTAATTATGTTTCAAATGTCGCTGTGATCGAACCTGTGGTGGTTTTTATTTCTTCTTTACCCTGGTGTGTCAGACAGGCTGTACGTTAAAACACATGCAGGGAAGTTTTTGTGTATATTCTCTGCGAAGGAGCGTTTCTTATCAATTGTTTCAACATTTGTTCCAATTGTAACCCGGCTTCAAATAAATGTAATTAAAAAACGCGACAAAACCTCATGTAAAAAATTTGATAATTTAAGGACGCGCCACTCATCGGCACATTTACTCACATTACAACATGCTGTAAAAGCAAACGTGATTTAAATAGTGTGGACTGAATAATTCGGCATACATCTAGAACTGTAACGATTAGTTAATTAATCAATTTGACAGTAAATTCACAGGCAACTATTCTTCTCCAGCAAACGTCTCTAGTTCTCTCTGGTTGTCGCTTCTCTAATATGGAGCTTGTTTCATTCTTTTGTTGTGTGACAATAAAATATCACAGTTGCTTCTTTCTTAATGACTAATGCACTTAATCAGGCTGTTATGATGTCATAGATGTTATTGATTTAAATGGCATGTATTGTTCTCTCAGCCAACAGAAACTATTTTGGGACTTAAATTCTTCTCTAAAGGAATATTTTATTGATTTTTGATGAGTACAGTGACTATATATTTTAATTGTTTGTGTCTCATGATGTGCTGTTGATATAAAGACATTGATTACAGTGTGTTTGTGTTTGCAGCTTGGCGTGTGGGGACGTTGAAGGCAGGTTGAACGCTCTTTTCAATCGAGTCCAAACCATCCAGAAGAAAACCGGACAGTTTGATGTGAGTCACTAAGATTTTAGTGTTAAAGTCTAACTCTGAAATATCTATATAACTATATCTATATACATATTTACAGACATGACAGTACACTGACCTTAAGATGCTGATATAATATGTTTCATACCACTATCAACTTCATGTCTTGGACAGCTTTATATACTAGCTACTGACAGAAAATTAATTAGTCTTTTATGCAAAAATACAATATTTATTGTTCACATTTCTCAAATGTTTCAATTTGCTGCTTTTCTTTTCAGTAATTTGAATAATTTGTAATAATTGTTCAATCATTTTGAAGTTTGGACTGTATGAAGGTGTCTCACTTTGGGCTCTGTCTGGACATGTTTCACTATTTTCTGAATTTTAACAAATTCAGAATCAATCAGTGAGTCAAGAAAATAATCAGCAGATAAATCCCTAATGAAAACATCATTAGTTGCAGCTCTGTATGAGATAGTAAAAAAAAAAACTAGCTCCATCTCAACCAACAACAGTCAAATGTTGCTTAGTAATAATATTATACATATATACATTTTCTACAGCTGTTGTTGTGTGTCGGAGAGTTTTTCGGGACGACGCCGGAGGCTGAAGCGGAGTGGCAGCAGTACAAAACTGGAGCTAAGAAAGGTACGAACACCTGGATCAACCAGCTGAACAGCTGACCGGTGTTGCACAGTATTTCATCACCACTTTAAAGTTTGTTCAAGGAGTCGTCGTCATCTTTCTTTAACTAAAGTCTTTAAACTTTGCACTTTTTGTGCCTCATCAGTTCCCATCCACACCTACATCCTGGGAGCAGCGAGCCAGGAGACGGTGAAGAACTTCCCCGGCGCTGACGGCTGCGAGCTCGCCGAGAACATCACGTACCTGGGTAAGACTGGTAAAACCGTGATGCACCCAGAGCTTTGATTTGTACATTAAAGCTCCCTTCATTAAAACGTTATTGGTGTCTGCGTGCTTCAGGTCGGCGAGGTGTGTTCACGGGCGTGTCGGGACTACAGATCGCCTACGTCAGCGGGCGGGAGGCCCTGCAGGAACCGGCCCCGGCTCACTGCTTCACGGCCAAAGATCTGTCGGCCCTCGTGGCTCCGCTGACCAGCAGCTCCAAGTTCAGAGGGGTCGACATCCTGCTGACGTCACAGTGGCCCCGAGGAGTGTGGCACTACGCTAACAACCCGGTAACGAGGAGTTCACGTCCAGGACACAGAAATATCAGTTAGTGACAGTGGAAGGGACGAGGGTTCGTGACAGTCAGTGTGATGTCGTCTGGAAGCTGTGAGCAGGACGTTGTACTGAGATTGTTTTGCTCTGCTGCAGGAAGTGAACACTAAGTTCTGTGGAAGCAGCTCCGTTGCCAACCTCGCCGACAAGCTGAAGCCACGCTACCACTTCGCTGCACTAGAGGGCGCTCACTATGAGAGACTCCCATACAGGTAGACTGGACAGGAAGCGCCACCTTTTAATGGCACGTTTTTCTAATTGTTTGGTGCTTTAACTCAAATAACTTCCTGTATTTAACATTACTGTTCACGTGTGTCCGTGTCCATCCTCAGAAATCATGTTGTTCTCCAGGAGAATGCTCAGCACGTCAGCCGCTTCATCGCCCTGGCAACCGTCAACAACCCCGCCAAGAAGAAGGTGTGTTTTTGATCAAAAAATAAAACTGATAATGTTTTATTATTCCCCGTACAGCGAGCTGAACGTGACAGGTTCATGTCGGCGCTACGACAGGAAATCAGTTCTCCTTTGGTTTTCCGCAATTTGCGCCAAAAATCGCAGCAATCCTCCGAGTCATAACTCAGTCAGATCTGAACACACAGACATCAAACACACATTTTATATTCGGTGTGACTTGCACTTCCCCAGGATATAATTATATCTGATCTCCATCGTGTGTAAACACCTGTAAATCTGCTCAGGAATCATCATCAACACACCGTACTACTTCAGAACTTGCCTGAGAAGCAACATGTTTGTAAGTTTTCTTCAGTGTCACAATAATCCAGTGAAAGTTGTCTGTGTATCAATGCGCACAACACAAACAGGAAGTGCTAATAGGTGATTCGGACACTTTTAATAGTGACAACATATAAAATATGAACAAATATCAGCTAAAAATGACTCATGGCTCAAGTTGTAGCGCACAGTGGCAACATGGCGTGATTATCCTCTGAATAGAAGTAAGATGACGAATAATAACATTAATTATAATTAATGATAGTTGTCTCTGTCTGCAGTATCTGTACGCCTTCAACATAATCCCCATGAAGACCATGGATCCATCGGAGCTGGTGAAGCAGCCGCAGGACGTGACAGAAAACCCCTACAGACGCTCCACGAAAGACAAGACGGACACACTGAAGACGGGCTTCAGCACCGCAGAGGAGGAGGGGGAGGTACAGAGAGAGTGTGTGTGTGTGTGTGTGTGTGTGTGTGTGTGTGTGTGTGTGTGTGTGTGTGAGTCATGTTGTAGAGACAAGAATTTGGTCGTACTTGTAATTTCAGTTCACTCATTCACAAACTGCACTTTTATTTTGAAAACTCAACCCCGTCTCTGTCCTTCCTGTCGTCTGTCCAGGAGCAGCCCAGTCAGTTCTTCTTTGACCTGAGCAAGAAGCAGGGGGGGGGTCATCGGGGCCGCGGCAGGAAGAGACACCCAGACGGAGACGGGCGAGGACGAGACCAGCAGCACGATGGAGACGGACATCATCAGGGACAACCCAAACAGCCGCGCAGACACCGTGAGTCCAGCTGTGCTGCAGAAGACTCAACATCTGTTTTTATAGAAACAGAAATTCAATCTGTTGGTTTCATGTTTGAAACGGAGACGGTTAATGTTGTGAACGTGAACGTAACTGTGATTTCTCGTGTTCGAAGAGTTTAAATATAAACTGACAGAAAGAAGGTGGATTTGAATATTTCTTGTGTTTTATTGTGAAGCTCAGCCCACTGGTCCCTGCTGGTTCTGCTTGGCGAGTCCTCAGGTGGAGAAACACCTGGTCATCAGCATAGGAACACATGTGAGTTTATGTTACAGGTAATTATCAGTAAAAACCAGAATTAATATCATGAAGTGACGATGTGGAAACTGTGTCCTGTGTCTCCAGTGTTACCTGGCTCTGGCTAAAGGCGGACTGACTCCGCACCACATGCTGATCCTGCCCATCGGTCACTACCAGTCCGTGGTGGACCTGAGCTCCGAGGTGGTGGAGGAGATGGAGAAGTACAAGTCGGCCCTGAAGAGCTTCTACAGGAGCAAAGGAGAGCGCTGTGTTCTGTTCGAGAGGAACTACAGGAGCCAACACCTGCAGCTCCAGGTACCAACACTCAACACCACGACCAGGAAACACAGAGCGACCACCGAGTCAGCGCCGGTAAAACATCTGGAATCAAAAGAAAGGAAAATAAGATCGTAAAATGTCCCATATTTACTGTCAGTTTGATTCAGGTATTAAACGTGCAGATAGTGAGTTTAACCCTCTGGAGTCCAGCGCGACTTTGACTTTGTTTAGCTCCTTTTAAATTTCTTTAAGGTTCTCTTCTCATTTTGTTCATGTGAGTGTAAAGCAAAGAATACTTATTTATATCTTATATCGTTTCACTACGTACACACACAAATAGAGCAGGAAAATATACGACATAGAACTTTAATAAACTCTGTTTACGTGTAAAGTGAATCTATCACGACTAACTTTTGTGCTTTTGTCTTTAAATCACTGAAAATATCAATAATTCACATTTTTAAAAATGTATTATGAGCTACAGTGATATACGTTATATATAGATATAAGTTATGTTACTATAAATAAAACATACTCATTGTATTCCCAGGGAATAGACAGAGCCCAGAGGGTTAAGACTATGATAACCATGGTGTTGTGGTTTCATGTCGTTTCACAGTTTTAATTTAAATGTGTTTTGACATTTCATGCCGACACACTAGGGGGCGCTAACCTGATAGTTTGGCATGAAACTACAGGTAGAAAATATATTTTTAGTGAGAAAAGAAAAAGTCATTGTGCGTAAGTGAAGAAAAGTCTGAAACATTAAAAACATGTTATTGATTGTTTAAAAATTGACAGTTGATTCTGTTTAGCAGTAATAGGAAGTGATGGTTATTTCCACTCTGCCTCTATTTTAAAACACTGATTAAAACAGGAACAAAAGTCTGAGTAAAATAAATCATTCTGTCTTCAAAAAGTTGGCAGTGAAGACGTGACGCGCGTTGACTCGTTTGTTCAGGTCGTCCCGGTGCCGCTGGACCGCTGCGCCACAGAGGACATCAAGGAGGCGTTCATGGTCCAGGCTCAGGAGCAGCAGATGGAGCTGATGGAGATTCCTGAACACACCGAGCTCAAACAGGTACGTGTGTAAATATACCACACACACACACACACACACACACACACACACACACACACACGATGTTGTGCAGTACATTTTAAGCTACATGAAGTGTGCGTGTCCAGATTGCCCCTCCAGGGACACCGTACTTCTACGTGGAGTTGGACTCGGGGGAGAAACTCTTCTACCGCATCCAGAAACATTTTCCTCTGCAGTTCGGACGGTGAGCCGCTGTTTTTACACAACTGATGATTTACAGGCAAATAAATAATGATAATAATCAATAATCAACTGTCACTTTTTGCACATGAAATCTGTCGAACCATGCAGTGTGTCATAGTTCAGGTGTCCACATACTTCTGGCCGTGTTGTGTGGCGCTTATGTGTGTGTGTGTGTGTGTGTGTTTGTGTGTGTGTTCTGATGAGCACAGGGAGGTTCTGGCGAGCGAGGCGGTGCTGAACATCCCGACCCGAGCCGACTGGAAGGAGTGTAAACAGAGCAGGGAGGAGGAGGAGGAGAGCTGCAAACAGCTGAGAGACGACTTCCAGCCGTACGACTTCGCCTGGGACGACTGACACACACACACACACACACACACACACACACACACACACACACACACACACACACACACACACACACACACACACTGTTGCTGGTGTTAAAGGAATAGTTCAACATTTTGGGAAACTCACTTTCTGACAGATGTCTGTGGTAAATCAGAGCCTCTGTTAGCAACTGCTTAGCTTAGCATAAACACTGGAAACAGGTGGAAACAGCTAGCATAGCTCTGTCTGAAGGTAACAGAATCCACCTACCAGCAAATCTAAACCTCACCAAGTAGCATGCTATATTCTGAGCTTTTGCAGGTGAATTTCTTTTACCTTTGTGCTAGCTGTTTATGCTAAGCTAACTCCAGATCCATATTTACTACACAGGCATGAGTGGTGTTGATCTTCTCATCTAACTCTCGGTTTCCAAAAATGTTGCACTGTTCCTTTAAATTGGGTTTTTGGGTGTTTTATACCAGTGTTTTTCTTTTTTTATGATGTTTCTCAGATGTTTCTGGTGCAGTGACGGAGAGAGCTGAGTTTTATAATAAGATCATGACGGCCTCTGTTTAAAGTTTAAAATATTTTGGATTTTTCAGTTTTTGTTTATCAAAGTGAAATAATGGAAGTTCATGAGAGAAGAACCCAGAACCTCACTGTTGAGTTTTTTATTTTGTTCATGATAAACAGTGATCATGAGTTTGTGTGACACATAAAAGGACAGAAGGAGAAAGGTGCTGGATAAACTCCTTCACAATAAAAGTAAAAATCCACAGGCCGAGGCTCTAAAACACTTTTCTAAATACGACACTGTAAAAACATTTTCTATCGTTTCTATGGAGCTTTTTTTTGTTTTTTGTTTTAACTTCGACTCTGTGGAAAAAAGTTTTTAAATGTTTTTCTTGTATTTTGTAAATTAACTAAAATTAAACTCTTATTTTGGGTTTCTGGCGTCATGCTGGCCGTTATTATCAGTAACAGGTCTGAGGTTTTATTCGTGACCTTGACATGTCAATCAGTTCCAGGTACAAGCTGGTCGCTATGACGACTGTCCAGGTCTGTTGGAATGATGCTTCACACTCAACTGAGGTGGGTCCTGTGATTAGCATTAGCATTATAAGCTAAGTATCTGGTCCTGTCTTGTCGAGGTGTCCAGTGTCTTTATGATGTTTGTTTATATCGTCGTCACATGGAGATTAATTATCCTAAATTAGAAAGTTTGCACAGGATTTAAAGGGAACTTGGAGGCAGCTGGGAACATATTTAGGGGCCAGTAGGTGAGGGGGGGGGTCAGTGGGGTGGGGGGCTTCATGCATTAATCCAGCCATGGCTGTAGTTTACTGTACAGCGAAGAACAACATTTTTTTTTAGTTGTTTCTGAAAATCTGTCCAGTTTGGATTTAAACATGATTTTTCAGTCAACACCTGCAGCCATGAAAACACCTGGAAGGATATGAACCACAGCTGGATAACAGCTAAACAATTAAATAAAATACGAAATAAAATAAAAATGGAATAAACCCCCCCCCCCCAAAAAAAAAAATACATATAAAGCAATGAATAAAATATAAAAAGTAAAATAACAAAATAATAAAATAATGATAAATATGAAAATAAACCATAAGGTTGGGGCTGAGAATTTCTTTTTACAAAAGACTTCAACACAAATCAGTGTTTTAGTTTTTTTTATTTGGCATTTTAAAGATATATTTGAACTGCATTCATCAAAATATGTCCATAAAACTCCACAGTTCTGCTTTTTATAAAAATCAAAGCTCCCAACATGCGACTTCAAAATAAAACATGTCACACAGTAAAATTCAGTTAGCTGCAGAAAGCCTGTCAGATCACAGCTCACCTCAGGCCTTCAACAAACCTCAAACTCAGAGACCAAACTAAAGTGATTTCATGTATTATCTGACGGAGGAACAGGAGCGGCCACCAGGGGGCGGCAGAGTCACCACGCGTCTCTCTCCCTGTCCTCATTAAACTGGGAACCACAATAAAAACTGTTCAGTTTACTTTGGGCACAAACAGACCTCCCTACAGACGGGGGGGGGGGGGGGGGGCCTGGCGCCCCCCNGCCTCCATACTATCACAGGTCGTCGCGGCCGTCCTGTATGGATCCGAGCAGGAAACTAAGAGACCATGTTATTATTATACTGATAGAAACTCTCAAGCGGCAGGTGTGAAAAGGGTCACGAGTTAAAGATGGAGGACGGGGGGGGGGGGGGGGGGGGGGTGTTAGTGGTTTAGACAAAGTTCCTGGACCTTTAATGGCACAGCAGAGCATCATGCTGAAGATCATCCGAAGATCTGTGGAGAGAGAGAGAGGAGAGGAGGGATGTCAAACAAACACTTTACATGGCGGCGCAGACGTGTCGTGTTGTAGGTGACGGCTTTCCTGTGTCACGTGACGTCCCGACACCTCACTGACGCACTTCATGTCGGTTTTCTCACTATCTGATTCTGCACACGTTTCTTCTGCAGCTTGTTGAAGTCTGAGAGTGACGTGACGTCTGATCTGTGCTTTCACCTGCTGTTACCTCATGCACCTTGTCTTAATAAATGATCTGTAGTGCTGTGCACCTGCCTGTAGGCTGCTGCCTGTAGGCTGTGCTGCAGCATGTAGCGTGTAGCTGCTGGCACTGTAGCCGTGTAAGGCTGCTGCACTGAAGGCTGAGTCTGCAGCTAGCTGTACTGCGACTGTGAGTAGCTGTGCCTGACTGTCTGCACCTGTTAGGTGTAGCTCTGCATGAAGGCCTGTTAGCTGCGACTGTAAGCGTGTAGCTGCTGTTCTTTACTGTCCAGTTCACTGCAGCTTGTCGTCTGCACAGTGATGTGTGGCTTCAACATTTCTCTCGTCAGTTTCTGGTTTTCCTTCCTAGACTTTTATTGAACTGTATTTATTGAACAGTTGAAGTTAGTGGATCTTTATAAAGTAAATGAAGCAGGCTTATGATACTGACGCCCAACAGCAGATGGTCAACCATGTTCCAGCCGATTAACTGAAATGGGTTTGATTCAATCAGTGAGTAATCGTTCAATCTCTGCTGTTTGGCGTCATATTTCATAAAGCTTCTTCCACTTTAATAAAGTGATCCACTACTTCAACTGTTCAAAATAAATTACAGTTCTAATAGAAAGTCTAGGAAGGAAAACAGAAACTACGAGAGAAACGCTGGTTGAAGCCACACATCACTGTGGCAGAGCGAACAAGCTGAGTGGACTGACAGTAAAGACAGCAGCTACAACGCTACAGTGCAGCAGCATACAGGCTTCAGTGGCAGCAGCTAACAGGCTTCAGTGCAGCAGCTACACGCTACAGTGCAGGCAGCTTTTACAGCTACAGTGCAGCAGCTACACGCTAAACAGTGCAGCAGCTAAGGCTAACAAGTGCAGCAAGCTACAGAATCATTTATAAATGACAGGTGCATGAGGTAACAGGCAGGTGAAAGCATACAGATTCCAGACGTCACGTC